AAAAAAAAAAAAAAAAAAAAAAAAAAAAGCGGGAAAAAAATGCTCAAAACAAAGACGAAAACTTTTCAGACAAGAAAAACCAAACAATTTCAAATGACACTAAAATAGGAATTTCAAAATTAAAAAAACCTCCTCCTTAAAAACAACAAATATCTACTTACTTATTGGTAAATAAGCAAAATAACAAACCTGAAAGACAAGAGAAGGGGAGAAAAAGAAGAAAAAGAAAGGAAAAGGAAGTGAATATCCGACTGGATGCCATTGAACATTTTAACTTTTATAGCAATATATAGTTACAAACACATCTAGACAAATGATGATCAATGTGTTTCCCTTAACAACCTTACACTGTTGCTTAATAATGAATGAAAAATACAAAAAAAAAAATTATTCATCGAACAATCTTTCCACCTCTATTCCTTTCCAATCCAATACCTTCAAACCAACAACAATCAGCAATCATTTCTGTTCAGCAACATCAATACGACAAGCGTTAGAAAACAGTTGTTGTGCCCAAGAAGAAAGGGAGAAAAAAAAAGCAACCAAGTTAACATTATAAACAAACATTGAGAACAAAAAAATAAAAATAAAACAGGAAGAAAGCATAAAGTTAAAAAGAAACATAACAGATAACACTTATTTACTTTGTAGGCTCCCGCCCTGCAAATATCAACGAACAGACAGAAGGACAATCAACAAAACAGTTGCGCCATCTTTTTTCTGGTGGGTGTGATCGGTTTCCAGCAGCAGCAGCAGCAGCAGCAGCAACAGTCCAATTACTGCAACGACATAGCAGTCACGTCCCGCCTGAAATGTCGCTGTCTTTGCCAAATCTGTGACAATTTGGCTACTGTCCAGTTCTTAGCTGTAAGCGGCAATTTAAACTCATTAAATTACCATATTATTTAACTACTGATACTGCTGCTGCTGCTGCTGCCGTTGTTGAACCTATCTAATGTGTTAAACTAATTGACTGATTTTTATGTTAATTATCAACAAACCTCAAATGACGTTCATTCCTCTCGCTAAATAGCCTGTTTATAGATTAAACTGAAAAAAAAAAAAAACAATTTTTTTCTTCTTTATTCTTGAAAATTATTTGTTTCACCACATTTAGTAACAGATAAATTTTTTGCTACTAAAAACTATACTTTTGTTTTTCTGTTAAATTATGCCATAACTGTGCCAGAATTACAGTTTTACTACACAACTTATTTTGCAATTTGTATATGAGATTAAAATTTTAGAGCATACATTAACTTATCCAATGAAGCGGCAATTTTAGAATAGTGTTAACAACTAGGTGAGTCAATAAATAAGCAAATTACTAATCAGTAAAGCAAAAAAGAAATCTAAATATTTTAAATTACTTACATATTTTTAAAATATTTTATATTGGCATTAGTTGGCGGTTGGCTATATTGATGAATACTAAAAACAAACAGTTCAATAATCCATATCAATAAGAATTGAAGTTGTTAATCAACGTCTACGGTAGCAACCACTGTATGGTCATTCGTATGTTTATATGCAATGTTAATCTTTTCAGAAAT